CATGGGTGAAGGAACTAAAAGTTTTGGGCATTATTTTTAGTGCGGATCCAGATGAGGTAGAAGAGTTAAACTTCCCGGAGAAAATTAAGAGCATGCAGGCATTATTAGACTATTGGCGAATTCGGAATCTTTCTCTCTTAGGTAGAGTGACAGTAATCAAGACTCTTGCCATATCAAAATTAGTTCATTTATTTTGTTCACTTCCAACCCCACGTGTGGATACCATGAACAAAATAAAGAGCATGTTGTTCAAGTTTTTGTGGAACGGAAAAAATGATAAGATACGAAGGACAAAAATTTGTCAATCATATCAGAATGATGGAATAAAGATGATAGACATTGACATATTTGTAGCCTCACTGAAGTGTTCCTGGATAAAGCGTCTGCAGGACAATAGTGCTGTTGACAGAAGGTGGGCAATAGGAAGCAGAATTAGTTTGAAGCAGCATAGTGATAACTTATCTTGGTATGGTGCATCAATGCTTAAAAGTCTGGCAAACAAAATCGAAAATAAATTTTGGGTTGATGTTTTACAAGCATGGGCGAGATTTGTAGAAAACTATGAACACAAACCGGAGAGTGTAGCAAGTGAAATGATCTGGTGTAATGATATATTAAGGTTTAAGTGCTCAACTAATAGGAACTGGAAGTCAAGAGGACTATTTTTTGTGAGTGATTTGCTTAAAGGCAATAGCCTGCTGTCAAAATCGGAGATTGAGAGAAAGTTTGAGGTCCGCGTAAATTTCATAGAGTATAACTCAATCAGGGTAAAAATGAGGACGGTACTTGACATGATCGAAAATGCTAAAGATGAAAATCCCCTGCCAGCGATACCGCCAAGGACGTACTTAGTTTTACATTCAGAAAAGCTTAGTCAAGTGGTAAGCCAACGATTATTGGAAAAGTTAAATAGAAAAAATGATGACATCCGGGATAAAATAAAAGAGAAATGGCTGCGTGAAAACCAGCTGTATCGGAGAGGGACATTGATCGCAATCAAGCAGGTTAGTCAGTCCTCTTGGCTACAGTCCTTTTACTATAGGATTGTCAATCGTATTTTGCCAACTAATACTTTCTTGTTGAGAGCTGGTTTGGTAGTGTCGAGTAAGTGCACATTCTGTGACTCTGCTGAGGAAACGTTGGATCATTTGTTCAGGAGTTGCGAGAAGGTGCAGTCGTTTCATTTAGCCGTGCAAGCCCTTCTGAGACAAAACTATTCTTTTTCGGTCTCAACGCAACAAATTAGCAATGTGTTTCTAGACCCGGATGAAAGAAAAATTATAGGCCTCATTGCAATGCTAGCAATGCAGTGCATCTGGTTCGCCAGAATGGACAATACTGAGCCAGAGGCGAGGCGCTTCGAAAACACCCTAAAAAGCCATTACATGATTGAAAAATACGTCGGCATTATGAATGGTTCGCATGAGAAATGGCACTTAAAGTGGGACGGTTTGCATGGGATGGGGGGCGGGGCGGCTCGGACCACATACGCTCTTACGCAATCATAAACATTTACACACATGCACACACACAGCACGCCCACACATAAACGGTCATGCAAGAATACATATATAACATTACAGACACATATACGCACACCCTCGGAAACAAGACATGTGTCGCCATGTGCGGCGAAAGCCCCCGCCCCTAACCCATCCGGGCCAACCCGTGCCTAGCCTCCCATCATATGACGGGAGGCTGGGCCGCCGGCCCGCCGCGCGCCCCGCCAAACCGGCTCGACTGGTGGGCGGGTCGCGTGGCGGGTCGGCGGGCAGGGGCGTCGCCTCGCGAGATGGCAGCATAGGGCGCGAGGCGGCGCGGGCGGGGGCCAGCGGCCCGTTTGGAGCACCGGGGAGGCTTACGGCCTCCCCGGGGCCGGGGCGATAACAGGCATGTGCCGCCCCGGCTTAGCCAGGCGAGCAGAACCGGCACGGTGCCCTTAGTGGGGTGTTGAGGCTGCGGGGTGTGCCCGTGTGGTGTGATAGTTGTGGGGTGCGTGGGGGTGTGGTGAGGTTGATGTAATGATGTGATGATTGGTCTTATGTCTGGATACTGTGTTTTGAATATGCAATAAATTGATTGTGAAAAAAAAGTTTCAAGTTGATAGCTCAAGCGGTTCATGAGTTATTCAAGAAAAACGGAGGGGGGGTCGGATCCGACCCCCCCCCCCAGGCGGTCGCGGGTTAACAGTCGGGTTTTAGTCTCGCAAAACACTTCCATGGGCGTCCAATATTAAAATCAGCTTGAAACAATCACATAAAATGTGTTATACTTAACAGTAATGGAAATAAGTATGTCACGTCCAAACGCGTCTCGCCGCGGTATCTAATAATCTAATATGTAAGGAAGGTTGAAAATGCTCGCTGAAATCGAATAGTGTACGAAAATATGTGTGTAGGCATTAAAAAAAACAGTCGGAAAAAATAATAACAGTGGAAAAATAATAAGCACAAACGAGACAAAATAATCTTAAACGGTTCAGCGAGCGGAATTAAGACCATGGGCTCCACCACCGGGGGGGGGGGGGGGGAAGGGTACGGGGGACGTGTCCCCCAATATTTTACATTTTTAACATTGTGCCTATGGATGCTGCATGGAAAGGATCGACTTCAAACAACCTTCGCCCCCCCCCCAAAAAAAAAAAAAATCGGGTCGTGACGGAGTTCTTGTTTAAAGAAGTAAAAAGGGTCAAATGAACGTTCTTTTAGGATAAGGACAACATTATCCCACAAACATGTTTTTTTTAACCCTCGCATGTGTAGGGGGGGGGGGTCGGATGGACCCCCTTTCCCCATGGTTTTTCGCGAATAACTCGCGTAAAAAGCGGCTGATCGCGACGAAACTTTCAGTACCATCGCATTGATCAATTTTACACCTACCCTGAAACTTTCATGACCCTGACCCAAATGACCTTTGACCTGTGACCTCTTTTCCGAGACCATGTTTGGCCGGAATCGCGATTCGGAGTATGTCGGCTCGCATTAGCCGCGCGTTTGCAAGCTTTTCGTGGTTTCAAACGTTCAAACATGTGATTTGATGTTGCTCCCATGCATTAGGGTGGGTGTCAAGGTCACCTGAAGGTCAGGTCAGGTCATTGACCTTTGGTGACCTCGGGTGACCTCGGTTCACTTTTTCGAGTTTTACATGTTTCTAGGCTAGTTTTTGGAGCTGAATTCGAATTTAACAACCATTTGAACATTTACGAAGTAGTTTTGTTGCCTTCGTAACATGTTACGAAGCTGTCAGAGGCGGTTGACACGTACTACGAATACCCGTCACGACGCCTACTGATTGACCTGACCTGACCTGACCCGACCTGGTCTAAATGCTTAAAGACATCATCTGTGATCAAAACTAACACGATATTCGTGATCAGTACCCCGAAAAACCCCTTAGCAGCCACACTTTACGACTTTCTAATAGGTCCCGATTTTCCCGACTTTGGGTCATTGACCTGACCTGGAAGGTCAACCAATGACCTAGGACCTGAAAATTGGGTATCATCGGCTTCCTCTCGTCACGGGCAACACGCTCGTTTTTTCCGCGAAGCTCTAGCTCGATCAGGGGCCAAACGGCAAGGGGGGGTCCAACCGACCCCCCCCCCCTACACATTAGAAGCTGGAAAACGCCGCACACATGCAAGGGTTAAATTTAAATATAACATAACTCACCTCTTCTTTTTCGAACTATGCCGGGTAGGTATCCCTCAGTTTCTCGATCGATCTGCTCCGCCGTTCACGGTTGGCACCGACCTCCTGACGCCGGCGGGGAATGTCTGCTGGTCCATCAGTTCACCTCCCTGTTCTCCGCGGCGCATGCGATTGATAAAAGCTTCATCGACAATCACCGAGCTCTTCACAGATAACTTACTCGTCCCATCCTTCGCTGCACGCCTTCCCCGCTCCTGCACTCTCCCGCACAATTTCACAATAGCCTCAACAATTCAACGTGAACTACGCGAGTCACCGCGCCACAACGGACTGAAGCGCGCGCCGCGGTTTTCGAACGCAACGGCTATAATACTCATCACGCGAACTCACGCATCACGCAGGAAACTCACCCTGCCGCGCATGCGCGCATCTTCAAGCCGGGGGTACCTCACGCACAACTGCACGTGAATTCGCGAGAACTCATGCATTGCGCAGGAAACTAGATTTGCCCAAGCAAAACTCATTTCCGACTCAGTTCGAATTCACGAAACTAAGCACTCAGAACTCACGCATAACGAAGTCACCCTGGTGATGTGAGTTAGATCAGCCAATAAGTGAGCACCACTATCGTATTCACTGAGTTTCTTCATGAGTTATTACTGAGTAATGCCTGGCCTGAGTAAAAAATTTTTTCACTGCAGTGACTCAAATGTCGGGAAAGGGAAAAAGGCATGCTGAAGCTTCTTAAAAGTGATGATTTTATTGGTTTTTTCCGAGGTCCGATTATTTATCACACCTATTTACTATAGCAAGTCGAATGGTTGACAAAATGTATATGTCGACGCGCCACCGAAAGGCTATTCAATGAGCCATCGAATGCTTCTTAACGACCAATGCGCTATTTTTGTTCATGAGCTACGTAGTCAGATATTGCATTAGTCGAAGATTCCAAGACTTGCCGATCGATCCATTGTTTGCTCCGGTAAAACTCATGTCACTGAAGGTTATCGAAGTCATGTCTTGCAATTTCTCGATTCGAGCATTCGATGGCTCATTGAACAGACTTTCGGTTACTGTGTCGACACAGTTGACCTTACGCCAACTGCATATGATTTGCAATAGTAAATAACTTTAATCAATTAATGATTTTTCCAAATACTGTTTTTTTACTACAGAAACAAAAAAATGTCTCTTAAACTGTTGTGATAAAAATTGCCAAATTGCTTTCAAGGGTTCACGTCGAAAGACCGTCAAGTGTTAATTTCAACAAAACCGATACATCAAATATCAATACTTGCAATACGACCTTCGGATATTCATCGGCAATATTCGTTGATAAAGATTCGTTCGTTACTAGTGAAATGACATGTATTGTGCAGAGGATGCAAACACGACAAACAAACCATTCTTCTGACTTTTGCGTCTCAATTCAAGGCAGGCATGCTGAAGTTAGACAGCAAAAATAATGTCTGCTTTTGAGGAAGGGAACAAAAACTGCGACTTGCGCGAGCACCCAAATTAGAGACATGACTTGTTGCTGGAAACTGAGAAGTTGCCACGTACGACATAACACAACACATCTATCTACTCATGACTCGGGCCCGCCGGTCATCCATGGTGCCTTCGAAAGCACAAGCACACTGACGATGCGACATTTCAGTTCACAATAATGTTCACACGCAGTGCTTTCAGTTGTCCGCGGTCTACACTGAACGCACGTCGAAATGGGCCCCAACTTTGCAAACATCGTCAATGCCGAATCAAGAAAGTGGCGTTACGAGACCCTAATCCACTGCCAGCTTTACTTGACCTCGATTTGACAACTTTGCACCGCGGGCTTCACCGGCCAAAAGACGATCCCTCCCCCTGACTGACCCTGCCGGCTTCTGCAGTGGGCCAGCACTCGTCTAACCAAGCTCGCAAGAATGCTACACCGATTACTACTGACTATCAAACACAAACACGGCTGCCAGGCCATGGCTGCTCTTCAGATCACGGTCACCATTACCGTACTGTTCACGGCTGCTCACACCCAGCAAGGTCCATAACTCCCGGCCAAGCGCACAGCATCACTAAACCCTCACTGACTCGGTGTGGTGCTGCGGAGTGCGGACAACACAAATCGGTAACAAGCTACTGTGACTTCACACCCGGTCCATCCCACCTCCACCGCACACATCAGCCGTTATCTACATGGTCGTCTGAGTGATCACTGTTATCGTCATCTTCATCGTCTTCGTCTTCCTCCTCCTCTTCCTCTGCGCTGTGTCCGACGAGGGGAGGCTGCAGCATAACGGCCACGGTGGCCAGGTCGGAGGGGTCCACCAGGTCCAGCGGCCGCTCACCGTCCTCGGTAAGCAGGGTCGGGTCGGCGCCACTCTCCAGCAGGTACCTGGCGGCGGGGTGCAGGGTTAGCGGATAGTACACATGAGGGGAGACAGCAGGTACAGGTCACGGTGACATGGGTGTATAAGCGTGATTGTTAGCTAGCATTAGTCTCTAAGGCTCAGAGAGCTACAGAATGGTCATGACTATGCCAATATTTGCTGAATACTGAAGTTTATAGGTAATTTTTTATAATTGTTGATAAGGACAATTAAAACTTTTGTAGTCAGTTTATTGTCATTTTGACGGTGTAGAGCGGAAGCTAAGCGACATGACTAGGCGACACTGACATTTGAAGAATATGATCTATGCATAAGGAGAGCTCAAGTCACAAGCTCGATACAGTCAGCCCGAGCCCCTTACCTACCCACAGCGCCCCCTGGTCTTTAGTGCGCCGACAGCGCCGACCACCGCCCTGGCGGCGGCCGGTCGAAGCTCTAGTTACGCACCTGGCCACGTGGTGGTGCCCCATAGAGCAGGCGGCGTGCAGAGGCGTCCAAGAGTCGGTGTCTCGACAGTTGAGGTCTGCGCCGAACCGGGTGAGGATCCTGACCACGGGCAGGTTGCCGTCCAGCGCCGCCTGGTGCAGCGCCGTCAGACCTGGGGAGGGGAGTATTATTGTCACCATTAGTCACCACAGGTCGCGAGGTCGGCAATGACAGTCGCAGCAGTCAGCACCCATCGGCCATAACCAATGTTGTCAGCTGACCACCTATTCGTCTGTCTGGTTAAAAAGAGTAAGTTTTCTAATCCACTACAAAGCTGAGTGACCGACACATCTACTAGCAAAACCTAATCACTTGACGTTACAGCTACCTTTGCGCCTATTTTACTTCGAAACATCAGTCAGCCGGCCAATTTGTGGGCTCAGAACCGTCTTCAGCTCCCACTCACTCCTCCCATGCCCCCTCCCGTCACCGGACACCTGCTCCGTGCAATAACATACACGTCTGTGAACCGGTATCACACTGCTCGACAACAACAATACAGCATCGTATGGCTGGAGTATCCAATTATGATGCGGTGGCTCATGGATGGATCTCGCGCGAACAATGAGTCAGGAGCGGGACGATTTAGCGTGCTGAGGCGGTGAGCACGCGCTGAATGAGTTCTGCGTGCTCAGCGGCTCAGCATGGTGAGTTTCCGCGTGAAGATTAGATCATCGGCAGGGTGTCAGTGATGAGTGAGGTGATAGTTATACGCTCGTAATCGGGATCTGTTTCATTTCCATGGATTCGAGCGCTGAGTGGGTGAGAGGTCGGTTCGAACCGTTCCGATATTGGCATTCGATTCTGAAGACGATGGTCTGTGGCGTCGGAGGCATTCTCGTTACTCGCATTGACGGAGTTGTAGCGTAGTGCAAAGTATGTCCGAATACGAAGATAAATAACAGCACATTGAATGCTAGGATGCACCTATATTTGGTGAAGGTGCGATGGCGTACAGGTGTACGATAGATGTTTGTGTCTAATTTCTGCAATATAGCGTACGGAAGAGATGGCGGTTCGGGTCTCAAGTCTATGCAATTAGCGATATGAATTATATGCGTGCAACATGCTCTACCACTGCTGATTCCATGAACGTCGGAACACATAGATGTCAATGCATAGATGTCATGTTATCAATACCTACTGGTGTATAATATAATATCCAAATGCAAAAATATATGGATTCCCTGTCAGTGTCCAGCCATCCATAAAGTAGTCTTCAAAAGCATTATACGGGATACGGCAGCACTCAGTAAAGTATCATTTGATACGGCAGCCTCATTGACCCACACCATTCGCCCGGCATTCTCAGGTCGTGGGAGCGCTGCCGATACCCCTTCTGCTGCGGTGGTGCTGCAGACTTAACAATCACGGTTCGTTAGTACATTATCCCCCGGGTTTCAGCTGACATTCATCAACCACCGTCGTGGCAATACCGATTGTGAACGCCTTTGAAGCTGTACTGCTGATCGTGCAACATTCTAATACCCTCGGCAGACGGCCGATTCACGGCCAATCCCCACATGTTGTGCTGCAAAATTGCAATAAATGGAAGGATACAATCAGCTGTCTTTCTCATCCTGGGTCTGAATGGCATTGAAATGAATGAGGGATTAGACAGGAGGCACAGACGCGGGGGCCTTTCTCATCGTTTCTAGAACGTTGCAGTATTGAAGGCATTTATATAGAAATTGAACACATTTTACCCTATTGGTTTTATTGGTTGGCTGGCAAGTGGCAAGTCAGTGAAAGTCACATATCTTGTTTATGAATACGGTTCACGAAGCAGTGGCGTGAAGGTTGCAGTCAACGGCAACCTTCATACGATATAGAAAGGCGGTCTTTGGACGCGGTCTTGGATACATAAGCGACCAGATCACAACATAAGCCTTTGATCTACATGGAGTAGATGGCCTATAGTGAGAAGTATCAATACCGTGCCAATGACGTAATGTTTATTCCCGTGGAGGTGCACCGCTGCTCTGTGACCCAGTGCTGTGCACGCGCCGTGCACACGGACCGTAATCAGACGTGTAAACCGGCGACTGATGATGCCGCGTCGTCCCGTCCCCACGAGGCCTGCACAGGGTCGCCTCCTGTCCCCGCTGATATTTGTCAGGGACGGGATCGGCGCTGTAGTATTGGCAGACGACTGCTTTTGACGAGGACACTTGTGTTGATTTCGCCGGCAATAACAGAAACGGGGTGCGGTGCAGTACTAATGAGAATATCACAGATTCATTGCTAAGGCGGGGAACGTCATACTTTTGCAGCGAAACTGGTTATGCGACGCCAGCAGAATATAAAACAATTGACTGCTGCCAGTCACATCCTAATTCATGCCATTATTTTTGCCGAATGGACCGTTGTATCATTTACGAACACCAGCCACGCTCGGCATGCGGCCCGCTCCCAGTCATCCGTTTTGGACGACTGTGCAGAGTCAGCGGCAGCCGTTCCCCGTCTCCGTCATCACCGTCCGTCCACCCACGGGCTATTGTTTCACCGTGTCCGCGCGTGCTGCGCGCTGTCCCGGCGCTCCCGTCCCGCTGGGCCGCGCCTGTCGCGGTCGTCCGCCGCCGGGCAGCCGCCCACACAGGGCTCCGGCGCAGCTGCACCAACACTCATACACTCATGGCGCGGCATAAATTACATAGATCTGCTGACCACAATTGCCGCCGCCTGCAGGTCTGCAAACGAGACTCGGAACTGACGGCGAGCAGAGGCCACACGCCACGTGCGGCCGCGGAAACGGGACGTTTGTGCAACATATGATAGACTGGGGAGACGGTCCCCTAACAGGGCCTTGCCTATAACAGGGCTGATTCGCAGCAGTGGAAGTGGAGGAGAGATGCAGCTTGGGGTGGCATTTATCAAATATCGGAATCGCCAATGCGCTAAAGTAATTTTGAACAAAAGAATGTAGGTATTTAACGAATGTAGGCGTTTAACTGTAGGCATTGGTCTCTTTTCGGTCTTAGTTTTGCTTTTTAAGGTCTAATTTTAGCTTTTATATGAGGCAACAAATGGAAACGGCACACGTTTTTCCCGTGTTCTCTGTTAGCAACCTGAAAGGCTGGCGTCACAACTAAAAGTGATGAAACACTGCCTATATTGCATCATATGAGTCATCTACATAAAATACAAGAGCCAGTAAGCACTGAACAGCATACCGTCAGGAGAGAATTTCATCATGAAATGCCGTCATAAACGCTCGCGTGTGGTTCGTTTGGGGGTATAAACTTCAGCCGAGGCCATGGAACAAATATATTGTGTTAATTTAATGGCATCATTAAACGTTTTGAGCCTAAAGAACGCGGTAAATCTTGCGTTTTACCAAACATCTGCGTTCCGACCACCACGGTGTCCGCTGTGTGGTCGTTAGCTGCCCGGTTGTGGCTGGTTACCGCCGTTTACGGTCTGTTTGGACGGCCATTTGACCCCTCCGAGGTCGTCCTCTGACCGTCTCCCCTCTCCGTACCGTCTGTCCAGGAGGTGGTGGAATTCCATCGAGAGGCGATGGAAGCTCGGGGCACTGTCGGTCGCGGCCTATTGTCCGGTGTCGGTGGGACTGGGAGACTCTGACGCCCGAACACGACATAATCCTGTAAGGTGTTCCGCAACGCTCTTTCCTAGCGTATCCGATTACTCGAGATCCTCTTTCGCGGACGACGACGAGGCTAAGAGACCAACCACACGGCTAACACATCTCACAGACATGATGGCTCCACATCCGAGGAATCACTGCGACATCTCTCTCGCCGAATGCAAATGGCCCATTCAGCCGGAGCCGACCTCCCCACGGCGCATCACGCGCGGCGCGGGGACACGGTACCTCTCCGCTGACAGCCGGCACGTCGTTTGTAGCGCGACACGCTGATCCGGTAACCGATGCGTGGATTGTGCTGTTCGTCACGGCCGGGGCGGTGCGCCCGTGCTGGAGGCTCACAGGGCGCCCCCTCACCGTTTTCGGGGCTGAGCTGGACGGATCAGACAGCGGAGACATGTCGGCGGCATTTTTCGGAAGGAGTGGTCGGGTGACGCGCCTGTCTAAGACGAATCTATCGGATGGACTTTTGCCGGAGGCCCTCAGATGAAAGCAGCTGCAAAAGTGAAAAGGTTTATGTAGATCCGGTAGGTCTCGACTTTTCGTCGTCGAAAGACGGTTTCGAATAATTAGCAAGATTGATGTTTTTCTCAAATATCCGCTATCAGCTGATAGGTGACAAAGACTACAGCGGCTCTCGTCAGTAACCTTAGGAGCAAAAAATATCTTGAAAGGAATCAAATTAAATGACTGCACTATTTATAGCTCCAACTCCTGGATGATGGGTTCAATGCGTGCACCAGCACAAAACATTTTGATCGAACGCCGCCGGCGCGGGCGGAGACGGCAGCGCCGGATGACGGCGGGCGGCACGGGGCGGGGGCGGCGGCGGCTGTCCGACAGATCAGGGCGGGGTCCGGTGCGAGCTGCCCGGCCCGCGGGCCTTCTCACCTGCCTCCGACCTCGCCCAGGGGTCAGACCGAGGGTCAGACGGGCCGCTGACAGCCACACCAGATGGGACCAGATGGATGACACCACTCACGCCGTCGGCGGCCGAACGGAGCCCCGATACGTAAAGTACCGCCTGGTGGAAGGCCGGCTGGGTGGACCGGTCCCTCCCCTTGTCGATGATGGGATTAGATCCAGACTTCGATCAAACGATATTTACTGGATGGTTATTAACACCTAGTTTATACGCAACGCCGGACCGGGCGCGTGGGCAGTGACTTCCAATTCTGGAAACAGCTTATTGCCGGTATCAGATATGCTTATCAATTTCCCTGAAACCGTTAACGATTCAACGATTTATCGATTGCAATGCAAAGCGTGTAGTCATTCCTTTTAAGCATTCAAATTTAACCGAGCAATCAGCTCTTGATATACCCAGCGATATGTTCAAAATACCGCATTAACCTACCCAATAAGCAAATTGGGCTGACCAAAGCAATATAAAAATTTGCAATGTGAAAATGCAATAAAAAAGCAATATAAATTATCCTTTTATCAATATAAAAACACAAGAAACATTACAACATCTAAAAGATATCCTCGATTCAAGCAAACAT